GAGTGTCCCAAGGTCAGAGTCACAGCCAGGGATAGTGAACCTGGAGTGTCCCGAGATCAGAGTCACAGCCAGGGATAGTGAACCTGGAGTGTCCCGAGGTCAGAGTCACAGCCAGGGATAGTGAACCCAGAGTGTCCCAAGGTCACAGACTGGGAGACACAGCCAGGAATAGTGAACCCAGAGTGTCCCAAGGTCACAGACTGGGAGACACAGCCAGGGATAGTGAACCTGGAGTGTCCCAAGGTTAGGGATAGTGAACCTGGAGTGTCCCAAGGTTAGGGATAGTGAACCTGGAGTGTCCCAAGGTTAGGGAACCTGGAGGGCTGGGACTGGAGACCCTGAGGAAGGAGCTGGGTCCTCCAATCCTGGAAATCAACAAGTTGGTCTGAAGCAGCTGGGACGTGGACTCCTGGAATCACAGAACTCTGGGTCCTTTAAGGACTATATGCAAACTACTGGGCTACAGAAAACCAATGTGAAATCCCAGGGGTTTCTGTTCTGTTTTCTTTTTGGGGACAAAGTGTCTTAGATAGCTCTAGGTGGCCTAGAACTCACACTCAATGGCACTCCTCCCCCGCTCAGTTTCTGAAGTGCTGGGAACAGGCATGTGCAGCTATGGAAGGCTGTCCATCAAAATTTCTCCTGTGTCTCAACAACAATGAAGGCTGAACTCCTCGGTCCCCAAAGTTCTAAGAGCTGGGGTATCTAAGCGTCTAAGAGAAGTTGGGGCTGGGAACCAACTTTCTGTTCTTACCTGCTTCTGCCTCGTTCACAGATGGGGTCAGTGGCTGAGCCAGGGGAGGGGAGAAGTGGCCCTACAGTGTAAAGAAAATGAAAACACGAGTGAATTTATGTATCTGGAAGATTCGGGTCTGTTCCCCACCTGTAGACCACCAGAGTTGGGGCTACAACTCCCATGCCCCGGAGCGCACGTGGCTGCGTGTGCGGTCCTATCCCGGACTTCCCGAGACTCACCGGAACCCCACCAGCCTCAGGCTGCTGCTGACGGCGCCTCTGTTCTTCCAGGAGCTTCTTCACGGTCTGTGTTGGGCAGTGGCTGCGCTCAGTCCGACTCACTGTGTGGGGGAAGGCAGAAGGAAGTCATCAGGAATGTTTAAGTCACCCAAATGTACCCTCAGCGGCAGCAGTGGGCAGCGAGGAGTGGACGTGGGCGCCCTCCTTTCTCTCCCGCGCGGAAAATCTGGCACATTGATGCCGCCGGAGAACTACAAAGCCAATAGAAGATGCTGAGTGCAGGGCCCGCCTCCGCCATTTCCTTCCTTTCACTCCACGCTTTTCCTCTGCCCCAACTTTCCACCAGCGTAGTGGAAACTGAGGAAGTGGGGAGGCTAGCACTCCTCTGAAGCATCTGTTTCCTCTACACCCCACTCCTCTGAAGCATCGCCACATCCGTAAAAAAATCCCAACCTAGGCTCCTGAGGCTTGGAGGGGAGGGTTGGGGGTCTGCTAATCTCTACTTCCTGAAAAAGCACACACAGGTTCCTAATGTCTGTTTTACACTAGGAGTGGAGGCACACTCCAGCAATCTCAGCACTCGCGAGGTGGGGACAGGAGGATCACGTGCTCAAGTCCAGTCTCATCTACATACTAAGTTAGAGGACAGCCTGGACTACCCCGGACCCTGCCTCAGAACAACAAATTATTTCTCTATTCTAGAATCTGACATGTGGGGCTCAGGGCGGGGCTCAGTGGATGGTAGAGGGGTGCCTACCGTCCTCAGCACTGAAAAAAGGTGAGCTGCTACTCTGGGGACCACCACTCTTGTCCCATCCTCTCTGCCAGGGTCTACAAAATCAGTAGCCACTAGCTCCTGGGGAATCCAGAGATCTGGAGTCGCAAAGCTCCTGCTCCCACCTCTGCAGACTTGGGAGTTGCAGGGACCCACCATCCCGCCCATGCGTCGCATAGATGCCGCACCCTCTCAAGCAGAACCCAAGAGTCCGGATCCTCAGTCTCCTTCTCTAGGACCTGGAAGTCCGGTTCCCAAGACCCAAGAAGAGAAAAATGCCCCAGCTCAGGTTTCCGGGCTTAGACTCAGGCGCACAAAGGGTTAAGCAAGCCGGGGACTGACTCGGAAACCTCGAGGCGGGACGCCACGCGCTGACGTCACCGCGCTCACGCAAGGGAATCTTCCATCTCCCAGTTCCGCTCCAGACTCGCGCTGCAGGTGTCCCGCTCGGAGGCGGGGCGCGCAGCGAAGCGCTGCGCCCGTGGAATCCCCGCGCACGGGGAATTCCTGTCCCGCCCGGGGTCCCTGCACCGGTGGTGCTCTGGGAAATCCCAGGGCGGGGCAGGTCCCGGCCGGAGAGGTCTAACGCCGGACCTTTGGGACCCAAATCTGCAACCATAGCCACAGTGCAACCCCCTCCTTGGGGGAAAGAGTCGGGGTCCCTTCGTCCTCTTACAGGATCCCAGGATCAGGCCTCCCAACCCTTGCACCCTACCCCCCTACCCCAAGATTCCAGATCTCCCTCTTAATCTCCATCACTCTGAAGACTCAGGAGTCCAGAACCCCATCCGCTTCTCTTCAGCCAGCTCCCTTAAACGTGGAGGACACCCCTACTCTCCGGGCCCAGCTTAATGCTCCAGCCAACCCTCAAGCGCTCAGAAAGTCGCGTGCCTCGCTTTACCCCATCCTTACCTCTCGGATTCTTGGGTGCAGATTGCGGGCCCCCAGGCCCGCGACCTCGGCGCTGCGCCAGCCTCGCTGCTTCCCCCGCGGAGCCGCCGCCGGGTCCCCGATCTAAAGCCAGGGTCCCCGCGAGTTTTTAAATTGGGGTTTTGACCACGCCCATTCAAAGAGGACCCCGCCCACAGTCCTGGGAGTCCCCGGTTTGTCTCTGAGTGGGAGGGGCTGACCTTGAAGGGTCTGATCACCTTGATCCATGGAAGGAGGGTGCTAGGGGTCCTGCCTCCAGGAAGAAGGACACTGGGTCCTGGAATTCTGAGTCTCTGGCCCAGGGGATGCTGGAGGCCTTGACCTGGCTGTGCATGGGCAGAGCAGTGCTGTTGGGTGCTGGGGGAGAGTCTGGACCCCGTGGCCTCCTGGAGAAGTCCTTAGGCAAGGGTGACTTAAATCCTCCCTCTTTCCACGTGGCCTTTCCCTTCTTTAGAGTCAACTTTCATTTATAATCCCCCCCCCCTTTGGTTTCAGTTTTGATTTCTGTATGTGTGTATGAGAGAGAGAGAGAGAGAGACGGAGATAGAGAGGCAGAGAAACAGACAGACATGGGTTCCTGTAGCGCAGGCTGGCCTAGATCTCTCGGTAACTGAGGATAATCTTGAACTCTGCCTGCCGCTCTTGCTCTCTCTCCGGAATGTCAGATTACAGGTGTGGGCTACCACATCCAACTACCAATATTTGCTTTTTTGTTTTGTTTTGAGACAGGGTCTCATTATGTAGCTCTAGCTGTCATGGAACTCACTACGTAGACCAGGCTAGCCTTGAACTCACAGAGATCCGCCTGCTTCTGTCTCCCAAGTGCTAAGACTTAAAGGTGTGAGCCACTATGTCCGGTTCTAATATTTGCTTTTAAGAAATGCTGGGTGTGAGCTCCCCGGAGGTCAGAGAATGCGTGCTCTTCAGCCTGCTGCGGAAACGCTGCCTTTCGTGTGGACCCGGGGCTCTAGCCCAGGCCAAGTGCCTTCACCTGCTGAGCCATAGCCCTACCCCTCACTTTGTTTGCGAGGCAGGCAGGGTCTTCCTACATAGCTGTGACCAGCCTGGGATGCTAAACGTCAGGGATGGCCCTGAACTCAGCCACCTTCCTCCCTTGGGCTCCCTAAGGCTAGAATTACAGGCTTGGGCTGTCATGCCCAGCTCACTTACTATCACTTGAAAAACTCTGTTAGCATGGAGGAGAGACACTTTGCTGGGTGCTTGGGACAGAGAGCACTGGGAAACTGGGTTTCCCAGCCCTCAGGAGGGACTGACATTCTCAGTTCCCACTTGGTGACCTTCCTTGGCACCTATCTGCAGCGACCACATTTCTCTCCTGCTTTCAGAACTCTGCCTGGTGTTGGGTCTCTCCCTCCCCTGCTTCTGCCCTCAGCTTCCCTAGCTGGCTGCTGGTTCCCTTTCTCTGCCGGCAGAGTGTGTGTGTGTGTGTGTGTGTGTGTGTGTGTGTGTGTGTGTGTGTGTGCACTTCGTTAGTGAGTTCATCCAGTCTTACGGTTGGTTTTAAATGCCATCCTTTAGCTATCAGCCCTCTCAGATTTACATGTCAGGACCAGGCGTCCCTGAAACCCAACTGTGGACATTCACATCTCCAGAGAGCTGTCAGGATCTCCAACTCAGTGTGCCCAAACGTAGGCAGCCCTCTCTCCCTCCTTAGCCAGCTCTTCCGAACAAACTCTCTTGTCAACCCAATTCTCCATCTTTCTAATCTCCCTCAGGCCAGAAGCTACAGTCACCCCTGGTCCCCTTTATAACACACACCCTCTCCAGCCCCAAATGTTGTTGGCTTTACTTCCAAAATATTTCCAGAGTCTCCCTGGTACCCACACCATGGTCCACCTGCTACTCCCACCCGGATTATGATAGAAGCTTCTCTGGGCGCTGACTCCCCCAAATTTGTTCCCCAGAATAAGTCTTAAGGACACACATGTACCCCCACACAGGAAGTATGTAGCACAGTCACCAGCAGAGTGACATCCGTTCTGGCTTCCTCCCTCTCTACTCTTCTCAGGACCTCTCAGGACCACAGTCTTTGGCCAGATCCCTTCAGGCCTCGGCCCGCCATGACCCCTCCGGGCCACCTCTTGTTCCTGCTTCTGCTCCCAGGTGAAGCGGGCACTTAGGGTTTGAGGGGACAGAAAGGCTGCCATCTGATATCGGGGTGCGGAGGACAAGCCTTCTCCCTGTGCCCTTTTCTTTCTTGAGAGCCACTGCGTCTCAAGGTCTGGGTCCTTGGGGGTGGGGGGTGGGATTGTGGAGCTGTGAGCTCTCCTCACTGCTAGGTCACTTCTGTTTCCCTTTTCTGGTCACTCTCTGTTCCAGGAAGCTCCATTTCTCATTTACCTCTCCAGTGTGGAGCTTAGATCTCAAGCATCCCACCCGCCCTGAGCCCGTGTTGGGGACTACTCCCCGACCCCTATCCACTTTCTGTCTTTCCACAGTGGCTGCAGATCAGACGCCAGCAGGTGAGGGATGAACTTCAACAGCTGCCTCCAGTCCCCTGAGGGCTCCTGACATTTCCTTAATCCCAGCCCTTTCTGGTCACCACCCAATTGGAGTGATGGGTACCGAGACTCTCCTTAACAGATTCCTGGTGTGCCCAGGGCACAGTCCTCGGGGTTCTGTGACTCCCCAGCCTCTCTTATCTCCCCCTTCTCATTTTACTCCCTAACCCCCCCAAATCTACCCACTCTCTGGCACCTGGGGGAGGGGAGAGGGGTGCCCTGTGGGCAAAGAGACCGGTCTCAGCTGCCTGCTTGTCTGGCCTCTAACCCCCAGGTTCCTGCTCAGGATGTGGGCCTCTGTCCCTGCCGCTCCTGGCAGGCCTGGTGGCTGCAGATGCGGTCTTGTCACTCATAATCGTGGGGGTGGTGTTTGTATGCATGCGCCCACACAGCGGGCCTGCCCAAGGTGAGCAAACACTGGGGCGGGGCCTGGAGAGTGGGTAGCAGTCCCTCGGGAAGAAGGGGGTCCCACAAAGGCGGTCCCCGGGGAAGCCCTGGAGGAGGTGCTTGGGAAACCCTGGGGGAGGTATCTGGGGAACCCCTGAGGAAGCCCCCGAGGCAGGGGGTCTCCCAGGAAGGTGATGTGGGTGGTCATGCTTCATGCTCTCTCTACCCCATCCACCAGAAGATAGTCGAGTCTACATCAACATGCCTGGCCGAAGCTGACCTCTGCAACTTCTGGCTCTCCCGTCCTGGATCACGAGGGGGTGCCTGGGAACACACTCCTACCGGACTGGAATAAAGCAATTCAAATGCCTCTCGTCTTGTTCTTCCCGAAGTCTGCCGTCTAACCAGGTAGCTGTTTCCCGATTTAGAGCATTCTTGGGGCCCCACTGTTACCCTCATAAGTAGCATAATTGATTCACGGTTTTTGCTCCGTCATTTATTTGTGGACAGAAGTGGGGAGAGATCAGACATCTCGGGGGGAGCACTCTGTGGATCTGTATCCCAGGGAGGGCATGTTGAGTAGGCATCAGGAATGGCTGGATCCAGGCATCAGGTTGCTGGTCGGCATAGTGTGGGCTCATCTGTAATACTGCCTCTGTGTGTTGAGGTCGCTGTAGACGTCTGGCCTCTGGCCCTGAAGCTCCTAAAAAGACAGAGGCCATCATTGGAGGGGCCCCAGCAAGCCAAAGAAATCTAGCCTCCTAATGACCTTCAAGGTCCCTGGCAGCTTCTTCAAACTTAAAATCATGACAGAGATCCAGATTTTATTCAAATGCCCGCAGTTCCCCACTTCTCGGCATGACATTAAGTCCCAGCCTCAAGGCCTTTACACTTGCAATTCCCTCTGCCCGGGCAGCCAGCTCCCTAGATTGTCAGCCTCCTTCTCACCCTTTCAAAAGCTTGGATATTTCTCGGCTTCCCCGTCTTTAGTTTTGTTCTCAACCCCACCATTACCACATTAGCTGGTTTTATTCTCTTCATAATATCACCCCCAAATGCTTCATTTCAGTCTCTCCAGTTAGGATGCTTGTGCTGACCCATGTAGGTCTCAACCAAGCCACTAAATAAATAAACAAATAAACCAGGCTGACATTGGCCCTAAAATTTCCTGGCTCTGAGGCACTGGACAGCCTCCTCAGTCTTCTGAGCCTCGAGTGGTCAAACTTGAGGTTTGTTTTTTTGTTTTGTTTGTTTGTTTTTCCGACACATGATTTCTCTGTGTAGCCCTGGCTGTCCTGAAACTCTCTGTAGACCAGGCTGGCCTCAAACTCACAGAGATCCGCCTGGCTCTGCCTCCCAAGTGCTGGGATTAAAGGCGTGCGCCACCACTGCTGGGCATCAAACTGAAGAATCTTACTCTTTGCAAAGAAAACTTTTCTCCAGCAGGGAGGCCTGTGGGTAGAGCTGCCTGCAGGGGTAAGGCGACTTCCAGAGAAGGGAGGAGAAGGCACTCACTGGTCTGTGGCTCCAGGGCCAGACTCTGAAAGCCTGTGCCAGAGACCAGTCTGGGTGTGTGCTTCTCCAGAGTTTCCTAACCCCTCACTCCTAGCCCCGAGGTTAGGGAGGAGCCCTGAGACGGGGAGATGGCTGGGGGTAAGCACTTGCTGCGAAGCTTGACAACGTGTTAGAGGTCTGAGACCCACGAGGTGGAAGGAGAGAACGGACTCCCACATGTTGGCCTCCACATGGCTGCCAAAGCATAAGCACCCACCCCCACCCACATCCACCCGAAAATAAATAATAAAATAAATGCAATTTAAAAAATAAGGCCTGAAGTCCTCCTATGGCCTGCCTGCACAAGTGCACGTGTGTGTGCGCGCACACACACACCACACAAACACATACACAAACACACACACCACATATACCACACACAAACACACACACCACACACAAACACACACCACACTTACAAACACACACCACATACAAACACACACATACCACATACACACACCACACACATATACACACACCACAAACACACACACATACACAAACACACATACTACACACACCACACACAAACACACAAACACACACCACATACAAACACACACACACACCACACAAACACACAAACACACACCACATACAAACACACACACACATACACAAACAGACACACTACACACACACACATACACACACATAATAGAGTCTTGACAGAGAGGGAGCACACATGACTGACTACATTATGGTTTTTAGGAATGAATTTAATGACTGCACTGTCTCTAGCTTACATACATAACTTTGACTTACTTTCATTTGAATTAATTCTGTTATTTATTTATTTATTTATTTATTTATTTATTTATTTATTTATTTATTTGGTTGAATCCTGGGCCTTGTGCATGCTAGATGAGTGTAGTCTGAGCCGCATTTCCATCCCATTCCACTTTTAATTTATTTTCCTTTTCAAAAGACAAGACAGGGTTTCATCCTGTAGTCCTCACTGGTCTGGAACTCTCTAGGTAAACCAGGCTGGCCTCAAACCCACAGGGATCCCCCTGCCTCTGCTTCCTCAGTGCAGACAATGCAGGCCTGTGCCACCATGCCCGGTTCTGTGTGGTATGTTTGAGATTCTATCTATATATGCTAGACTGGCCTTGAACTCACAGTCCTCCTGCCTAGCTTCTGAAATCCTGAGACAGCTGCTAATGATTATTAATGTTTATGTTGGTCCTGGGTATTAAATAAAGGGCTTTGCAAACGGCAGCCACGCGCTGTACCACACCATGCTATATGACACCCTACGCTCACCCCTTTTTTTGAGACAGGGTCTCTTTCTGTAGCCCAGGCTAATCTCAAACTCACTAAATAGCCCAGGTTGGCTTCAAACTTCCCATCATCTTGCCTCCCAACTTCTGGGATCACTTTGTACGTTGTGTGTGGGGTTTTCTGAGCAGCCTAGCTTTGGTCAGCTGTTCAAAGGAATGTCCAATGCTCACATCTGCTTCTGCAACACCGTAACACCGGTGGAGCTCCTCTCTTTAGAGACCCCACGCTAAATTCTATTCCCTGCCTCACCAAGGACTTCTCCCAGTCTGACCGAGGGCCAGGCTTCCCCCAGATCAAAGCAAGGCTAACAAAGACAGAGCCCCTCTCTTTGCTCCCACACATCTGAGGAGGAGCATAAAGGTCATGATTAATCATTGAACATGTCAGACAGATGCCTCCTTTGTTTTCAAGATTGGGGGTGTGGCTGGGGAAGGGACCTTAAGGTGCTGGAAAGGGTTTTGTGTGTGTGCGTGTGTATGTGTGTTGGGGGGGTTGGGACTAGGAGTGAAGGTAGAGAAAGATTTGGTGTTCTTACCTGATAAGGTGACTCCGTCTCTGCAATGCGCTGTTTCCGGGTCCCTGGAAAGGGACAGAGAGTGACACAGGGGGTAAAGATGGACTAAGCTGTGAATTGGGACTATATTGTTGTTGTTGGGTTTTTAATTTTGTTTTGTTTGGTTTGGTTGGTTGGTTGGTTTTCTGAAACAGGGTTTCTCTGTGTAGCCCTGGCTGTCCTGGATCTTGCTCTGTAGACCAGGCTGGCCTCGAACTCACAGAGATCTGCCTGTCTCTGCCTCCCAAGTGCTGGGATTAAAGGCGTGTGCCACCACTGCTCCTGTTTGAGTGTTTTAAAACCAGTCCTTCTGAGCAACTTGAGAGATGGTTCAGCATTTTAGAGTGGGTACTGCTCTTGCAAAGGACCCAAGTTCAATTCCCAGCACCAACGTTATAACTCTAGGTCCAGGGCATCTGGCACCACTTTCTGGCCTTGGAAGACACTAAACTATTCAAATTAAACAATTAAAATATATATATAAAGTAAGAGAGGAACAAGCTGCCAGCCTTCTGGCCTGAAGGAGTAACTCAGTTGATAGGGAGAGCTTGAGTGCAAATGGAGTCCCTGTCTGGGGCCTCAGCATTAAGGGAAGAGACAATAACAAACCAGCCCTTCTATCCCCAGCCCTCAGGTATCTGTGACCTTGAAAGGTCCCCCCAGTCCCCTCTTCCAACAGGCCAGCTCCTGAGTGCCTCACTCACCCTCTGCTGCCCCTCGGCCTCGAGGGATCACGCGGCCCAGAGAGTAGACAGCCAGGGCGATGAGCAACGTCAGCACCAAGTCACCCAGCACGATCCCAGCCAGCACCCCCGGGCTCACCGGAGAGCAGTTGCAGTCTGGGAAATTGTCACAGGAGGATGAGGAGGGCGACATAGGTTGACAGCCAGGGACTGGGTGTTAGCAGAGAGAGGTGACAGGAGGAGTCTTTGAGGGAAGGGTGAAAGATTGGGGGTGTCATGGCTTACCACTCTGGGCCTGGACGGGACTTAATCCTAAGGAGGAAAAAAATTAGGTAAACTGAGAGAGGCAGAGGCAGAGGCAGGAGAATCAGAAGACTGAGGTTTGAAGCTAGCCTGGGCCATATGAGATTCTATATCCAAAAGAAGATGTAAACTGAGGCCCAGCCAGACAGGGATGTAGAGGCTGGAGAACTCGGGAGAAGGTAGGTCTCGCGGCCCCCCGGGGCCGGTACAGGGGCGACTGTCCAGTGTGCAGGGTCTGTGTCAGTGTGTCTGGTTTAGATCTTCCCTGCCAATGCTTCTACCAGGTCCCAGATCGTGGGGCCTCCAGCTCAGGCAGAGACCCAGAGGCCCTAGAGGAACCTTCTTCCGCCCAGCCCTCCCCTTCGGCTGTCCTGTCCCTTCCTGCTCTCTGCCCAGCCCTGGCCCTGAGCTGAAGACACAGGACAGCGGCAGAAGCCCCCGACTCACCTCCCACAGTCAGAAGGGCAGGAAGCAACAGAAGGTGCCAGGAGGGCTCCAGGGCCCCCATGGTGGTCAGACGTGCACTGGACACCACAGTCCAGCGGCTGGTGGGATGTGGTGTGACGTCCAACCAAGTGAAGGAGGAAGTCTGAGGTGGGTGGTGGCAGCGGGAGGAGGGGACAGCAGCAGGGAGGAGGGACAGACAGACATGACATGAATGTGGCCAAGGGACTGTGCCATACACAGTCCTCACGGGCTGGGCGCCAAGGACTAGGCAAACTCACAGCAGGCCTTGATCTCCATCTCCAGACAGAGGGCAGGTGCAACGGGAGGGCAGGGGCTGACAAGAATTGAAAGCAGTTCAACCTCTTCTGGCTGGGCAACCTTGAAGAAGTCACTTAGCCTCTCTGGGCCTCGACTGTTTTCATCCACAAGATTGAGAGTAAAACCGTACTTTTTTGCTGGGCCATTTACCAGCTGACGTTCCTAGAGCAGGTCCGACACTGACCTGTCTTGTAAGCATCAAGACCCTTGTCACGGTCACAGGCT